GAGTAGCTGGGACTACAGGCACATACCACGACACCCAGCTAATTTTTCTATTTCTAGTAGAGACGGGGTCTCACTTTTGCTCAGGCTGATCTCCAGCTCCTGAGCTCAAGTGATCCTCCCATCTCAGCCTCCCAGAGTGCTATGATTACAGGTGTGAGCTGATTGTTTTTGGTTTTTTGTTTTTTTTTTCATTCTCCTGAGCATCGAAAGGAGGAAATCTCTGGGCCAGCAAAAATATCTGACTGGACATGGTTTCTAATCCAAAGAGAATACTGTAGGATACTGAGAATACTGAGGATATAATACCTTACTGCACTCTCTTCTTGCCCACATGGTTTCTGAAGAGAAGTCCGATGTAATTCTTACCCTTGTTCCTCTATGGGTGAGATGTGTTTATTTCTTTGACTTCTTTCAAGATTTTCTCTTTGACTCTCTGCAATTTGAATATGATATGCTTAGGTGTAGGATTTTTTGGTCTTCATTCAGCTTGGTGTTCTCTAAGCTTCCTAGGTCTGTGCTTTGGTTCTGTCATTAGTTTTGGAAAACTTTTAGCCATTACTACTTCGAATGTTTCTTCTCTTCTCTCATTCTTCTCCTTCTGGTATTCCCATTAAGTATATGTTATACTTTTTTAGTCCCATTGTTCTTGGATATTGCTTTGCTTTTCAGTTTGGGAAGTTTCTGTTGATGTCTCTTTAACCACACTGATTCTTTCCTTGGCCATGTCCAGTCTATTGATGAGCCCATCAAAGGCATTCTTCATTTCTGTTACAGTGATTTTGATTTCTAGTATTTCCTTTTGTTTTTTTGTTAGAGTTGCCATTTCTTTGCTCCTATTACCCATCTGTTCTTGCATGTTGTCCACTTTTTCCATTAGTGTCCTTAATATATTAATCATAAGTTAATTTAAATTCCCAGTGTGACAATTCCAACATCTCTGCCATATCTGAGTCTGTTTCTGGTGCTTGACTTGCTTTATCTTCTCAATCTGTGTTTTTGCCTTTTAGCATGTCTTTAATTTTTTGTTGGAGACCAGACGTGATGTATTTGGCTTTTTTAAAAAAACTGAATTAAATAGAGCCTTTAGTGTATGAGAATTTTCGTCTGTCTGGCTAGGAGTTAAGTTATGTTTAGTGTTTGCTGTAGCTGTAGGTATCAGCTTAAAATTTTCTCTGATGTCCTTGTCTTTGAATCCCCTATTATCTTTGAGTTTCCCTAGAAATACCCCTTCTTAAATAGCATTGAACATTGCCTAACTCTGTATTTTCTTCTAAGAGTTTTATAGTGTAGCTTTTACGTTTATGTCTATAGTCCAGTTTGACTTGATTCTTGTTGATGATGTGGGGAAAGGATCGAACTTCATTCTTTTGCATTGGCTATTCAGTGGTCTCAGCACCACTGAAAAGACCATTCTTCCTACCATTGAATTGTTTTGCCAGCCTTGTCAAAAATCAGTTGACCGTAAATGTGTTTATTTCTGGATTCTGAACTCTTATTTCATTCATCTATATTTATATTTTTGCTGGTATCATGCTGCCTTGATTAATATAGCTTTGTCATAAGTTGGTTTTATTGTTTTGTTGTTTTATTTTTTTTTTTCTTTTGAGACAGAGTTCTTGCTCTGTTGCCTGGGCTAGAGTGCCATGGTGTCAGCCTAGCTCATAGCAACCTCAAACTCTCAACACTCCTGGCTCAAGCAATCCTCCTGCCTCAGCCTCCGGAGTAGCTGGGACTACAGGCATGTGCCACCCACATCCAGCTAATTTTTTCTATTTTTAGTTGCCCAGCTATTTTCTTTCTATTTTTAGTAGAGACGGGGTCTCACTCTTTCTCAGGCTGGTCTTGTACTCCTGACCTCAAGCTGTCCTCCTACCTCAGCCTCCCAGAGTGCCAGGATTACAGGCATGAGCCACCACGCCCAGCCAAACCTCATGTTTTTGTTCCCACTTCTCAGTTTTTACTTTTTCAAATTATTTTCTCAACAAGTGTGACTTAGAATTTATATATTTTAGAAGTATACAAAAGTAACTCTGAATACTAGGCTTTCGGTGAAGAAGATTCACACCTGAGAATCATTTTTAATGAAAATACTATATTGCATTTTCTGATTTTAAGAGTAATAAATGCTTTTTGCAAAAACAAAAACCCTAACATACAAGACAAAGTCTCCCTGTAATCCTGTCCCTGGATATAAACACTGTCAAGGTAATGTAACGTGTTATAAATCTTCTGTTGTAGCTCCTGTAGGGGCCTGTGGTGTTGCGCTGGCACCTCCTGCAGGGACGGCAGCAAGTTCTAGGGCCGTCCTCTTCACTGTGGGGTCTCCTCCACACAGCGCCATGGCCCCCACTTGTGCCCACATGGTCCTTCGAGCAAGAACAACCTCAGGTGAGGCGTGTGTGCCATGTGACGGTCTTTGGCTACTATTTGAAGCGCTGTGTTGTGATAATGACCCAGAGCTGTAAGTTAGAGCAGTCCTTCAGCTTCTCTGGGCTTCAGTTTCTTTACCAGTGAAATAGAAAAACTATTTTCTGGCCGGGCGCAGTGGCTCATGCCTGTAATCCTAGCTCTCTGGGAGGCCGAGGCGGGCGGATTGTTTGAGCTCAGGAGTTCGAAACCAGCCTGAGCAAGAG